AAATTTAGGAGACACCAGTGAGGAACAAGGTGAAAGATTTCACCAGGATATTAAAACTATGGAGGACCGCTACCAAGGAAGATGGGATACACACATGATGGCAGATTACTGCTGGAGTTTAAAAAGGGACTGTTCTAAAATACATTCAAGAAAGTCACGAAAAAGAAGCTTCCGTAGTGTTCCGTGACTATAGTTGGTTTGACTGTTATATATAGTCGATGATTTTTTCCTCTATCTTTGTATTTAATATAATAAAATAAAAATATAATTATAATATAGTAATAAAAATTCCATGTTGAGTTTTTTTATTTGATCCACTGATTTAACTTAAAATAGTGTAACGTATATTTCACCAAAATGTTATATCTTAAAAATTTGAGCTCCTAGGCAAAAACTAATGCCATATTTGAATTCAGGGCATCAAATTCATATGAAATCAGCCAGATACCCCGGCACCAAAACAGCTGTTGGCCTGTGTTATATACAAATTATTCAGATTTAATCATGTAGATGTCTTCATTTAAAATATTATTTTAAAACCAAATGATGCAGGATGTTGATGAAGTGTTTGCAGATGGCATATGGGCTGAAACATGTTGGACCTATGATAATTCATTGATTAAAGGACTGGTTTCATTACATTTTATGTGGAAATTGGTGTGAATAGTGCAACAAGTATAATGACTTGTGTCAGATTGCTGAAGAAAATGCAGGAAATTGAGATTATGTACATTCATTCCATACCTCTCACTTTCCGTCATGCTGTAGAACCAACTTTGAAGTGCTGTTGTGAGAGATGTTAGGTGAAGACATTTTGTAATGTGTTTGAAAAGTTTTGAATTTTGAGTGTCATGATATCCATAGTTATTTCAGATAGCTCATTGAGCACAGTAACTAGGTACTAACAGGATGCCTGGGGTTTCATTCCTCACAAGAGTAAGAATTTTTCAGGTCACCATCACTGTCTCTAGAGTGACTGTAGAGAGCACCACCTTCATCCACTGTGTACAGGAGCCTTTTGTCTTCTGATAAAGCAGCCCAAGTATAATGCCAAGTCTAGTACCAAGGTCTAGAAAGCATGAAGCCTAGCTGACTACCAGCCCCCCATATGGCTTCATGACAGACTGTCAACATGTTTACACAATGTACTTATAATATGTCTGGAAATTAATTAGATGATTTCATTATGTGATTTCAAAAAATCTTCAAGTTAAACACTCAAACTAACTATTTAATTATTAGAAGATTCAGTGGTATTTCCAGTAAAAGTCTTCCTGTTGGATGATAGATGTTGAAAGGTTACATTAGAATACCATGGTAATTAGAAGCAGAAGAAGTGCACTAAATCTTTTGAAGAAGGAAATAATATGAAAATAATGATAAGCCTTCAGTTTGTGTTGGATACTTTCCTCTAGAAATGTAACATATATCAGAATGAAATAATTGGGAAGTCACTCAGTCCTCAGTCACTCAGAAGTAACTGCTGAGAACCACATTTTATTGAAAAGGGATAATAATGAAGAAAATTTAGTACTGCATTAGTTAATAATGCTACAGTAGGAAAATGTAAATCAGAGTGTCATAAATAAGATAATCTGTGATACTAGTCATATAGATATCCACTGTCACTCAAGTATAACACTTTGAAATATTAGCTGATGTTTAGCTTACCTTCAGGATAATTTTATTGTTTGCCATCCCTGTAAGGAAGAGTCATAGAGGCAAACTTCATGGTTTGTCTTGCAGCACACCATTGCCTCCCCTGCCTACAGAGAAAAAACAGTTGACAGTATGCAGCAGTGAGACCCCCAGTAACAGATCATCAGCATCTAGTAGCAGTGCATATGGACATCTGCTCAGCACAGAAGAGCAGGGTACAGATGAAGAAGACATCTACAGCAAACCAATGGTAATTATACTGTTGCTTTTCACTTGGACCAAACAAAAAAATTATTATTACTAGAAAGCTGGTACAGGCTGTCCCTGCTATACAAGTCTTCTTTAAATGTTCCCAAATTTTCGTGGCCAAGAAATTGAAGAAACACACAAAAGGTCCCTGGACTTATGTGGTTGCCATGGCAATGCACACCAAATCATTTCCCATACAGTCCTCCAATGCCTTCCAACCCCCTGTCTCAATGCTGCTCACTCAAGTGACACAGTCTCTTTGTTTCTGTTGTAAGCTGATAACTACACCACTGTTATTGATTATTTTAAAGATAATGATCCTTTTCATGGCAGAGCAGCAAAGTTTGAGCAAGGAATAAAGGACCTGCTTTCACTTTCTCAGACAATATTAAATGAGAAGCTACATGGGGGAAGCAAACAACTCTTGAGTCCTTCTTTAGACAATCAGTCAAGAAAGATTAGTCATGGGAAAAGAGCGTAATGACTCTGAAGCAGAACCCTCTACTCTCCAGACACCTGTTGGGGTGGAAGATGATGAGATGGCAGTGGATAATCCACGTAGTTTTTTGTGTCTTCATTTTGTGGCTAACCATTAACCAGCAACCTACCCACCTTCCATTCAAGCAAGCCTAACCTCTTTACATTTGAAGGTAACAGAAAATGTTTGTTTGTTTGTTTGTTTAAATTTTGCCATTACAAAATACATAAATGATCCTTTCACATATTCTTTTCCATAGGTATGAGTGTGACTTTTGGTGTCATAAACAAATTTAAATTGTTTTCCTTTCTATTTTTTATGTATATAGAATATTTAACAGGTATTTTCCATAGGTATGTATTGCAGTTCCTGTGTCATGGTCCCAATTAAAGCTTAATTACATAAACTCTTATGGAAATTTTGGGCTTGCTATAAGTGGATTCACTAACAACAGTCATGTCATGGTCCAGATTATTTACTTATAATGAGAGTCCTCTGTATTTATATGTTCCATATAGGGTATATTGCAGATTTAAACCCTTCCTGAAAAATATTTTCATAAAAATGAGGTTAAAAAAAAGAAGTTTCATTGATGAAGGGCATGATTGATTTCTAAATATTGGCATTTATTTAGTCTGGCTACAGTTTCACAACATATTTTTTTCCCCACATATATTATTAGCAATGTGGAATAAGACCTGCTTTTTGTCTGTCATAACTATTGTAATGTCTGTTGTGGGTCATGTTGCTGTGATGTAATGTGACGTCTTGTGTGAAGGAGCTACTGGAACGGATGAATGGCAACATGCATTACCCCAGTAGTCACAGAGAGTCCCTTACTCTGCCCCCTCCTCCGCCAATTCCGCAGAGAGAGTCTAGACCACGATCTGCAGGCTACACGATGACTGCTAACTCTGACACACTGGCCAGGACACCAACACGAGGAGGAAATGACTACTCCTCCCTGCCTGTCATGCGATCATCACGGCAAGTTGTTCTTTTTACTATGTGCAGTGATTTACATTTGAGACTTTTGTAACCAGTGTTCTCAGTGTGTGTGTCATGCATTTGTATGTACGAGTACATTAGTTTTCTTCCCATCCTGACATCTTGAGGTTATGTCTCAGAAGATGCTAAAGTATAGCATGCAACACATCATATAATTCTGATCAGTATACTTAGCCCTCATATCCAACTTTAGTATTGTTTTGGATGTTTTCAGATAAGAGGGCATGATCTAATATATGCGTTATTTGGCCTTCAGGCCACAAGTTGAAGGCCATCTGTGTTAGATTAATAACTCTATACCAGTTTGTTTCTATGAATTAATCCAAATGTCATTTTCACAGTGATCTGCATAATGAACTTCCCATGGTACTGTCAGGGTGGTAAAATCAAGGAAATTATGATGGGATAAACATACATGATTTGCTGTCAAAAAACATAAAAATTAGAATATAAAAAACTATAATTTTGCTTGTGGTTCTGTATGGGTGTGAAACTTTATCTCTGACATTAAGGGGGTAACGTAGACTGAGGGTGTTTGAGAACAGGGTGTTGAGGAGAATATTTAGACCGAAGAGAGACAGGAGGTTGGAGAAAACTGTATAATGAGGAGCTTCATTCATAACTTGTACTCTTCTCCAAGTATAATTAGAATGATCAGGTCAGGGAGGGTGAGGTGGGCAGGACATATAGCACGAATGGAAGAGAAGAGGAATGCATGTAGGCTATTGATGGGAAAGCCAGAAGGAAAGAGACCACTGGGAAGACCAAGGCATAGGTGGGTGGACAATATTAAGATGGATCGTAGAGAGATAGAATGGGATGGTATCGATTGGACTGATCTGGCTCAGAATATGGACCCGTGGAGGGCTCTTCTGAACACAGTAATGAACCTTTGGGTTCCATAAAATGCTGGAAAATTCTTGAGTAGCTGCAGAATTGGCAGCTCCTCAAGAAGGGCTCAGCTCCATGAGTAAGTAAAGGAAGAAGTACATGCAGAACCTTAATGGGGAAACCTCTTGAAAACTTTCTAATTTTGCCTGTTATTTTTTATGTTTGTAAAAATAGTTTATCCTGAGAAAGAACATGGCTAGAGAGGGTATCAGAACAGATTGCTAAGGAGAATATTTGTACCAAAAGAAGAAGAAGTAACAGGAGGCTGGAGAAAATTCCACAGTGTGGAGCATAATGATATATAGTGTTCATTAGATGTTGTTAGAGGGGTTAAATATAGAAGAATGAGACTGAAGGAACATGCAGCATATACATGAGGTGAGCAATGCATACATTTCAGTCAAAAACTCTGAAGGGAAGAGACTACATGAGAGACCTGTGACATGTGAAAGGGCAGTATTAAAATGGATTCACCTAGCTCAGGACAAAGTGCAATGGTAGGTTGTGAGCACAGTAAACAATTTTCAGGTTCATAAAAGCAGGGAATTTCTTGAGCATGTGAGTGACTGTCACTTCTAGAGTTAAACCTTTCACTACAGATTTTGTTAGTTAACTCTTTCTGCAACAATAAGACTTGACCCACTTTTATTTGGCAATATCTTATGTGTCACTTATTTTCAGGTTACATTTTGTTTTGTTACAGCGAGTGTCTCGATTCTGACAGTAGCCCAGTTCCTAGGCCACCCAAACTCACACATCAGCGTTCCCACAGCAAACCATTCTCTTTCACTCCATCTGCAGCAGTCAACACAGGGAGTCCACCAGATGCACCACAGTTACGAAACTCTTGGTCTGAGTCCAGTGTGGAAGAGGCTCCACCACTTCCCCCCAGAGGACAAAGTGAGTCCCTGTTATTCATTTTGAATCCTAGTATACAATTCTTCCGCAAGTGGTTCCTGGAAACCCCATTATGAGTCATACCCTTTGTTTCCATAGACAAAATGTTACATTCGTGACCACAAGCTGGAAGTTCAGTTTTTCATAAAATATAAAGGGAATGTGATATGTAATCATATGTTTATATAAAGCATTAACCATTCTGACTACCACCTTACTGCGGAAGGTAGGTTTATGCTTCAATGACCAGGAGAGCTATGCTAGTGGGAGTGTAGGCTCCTGGTAGATCCAGATGAAATATAGTCCCTAGTCCTCCATGTTGGGGGCTAAGCATGGGGCTAATGACCCCACCCAAGAAAAATTTAATGTTACAAATCCTCCAGAGTGAGAGGTTACCACGTAGGAGGCAAAGATCCACACAGGGTTGCAGCACCAGTAAAGAAGAAGACTAACCACTCTGCATGCTATAAATGTTAGAAGACTCTCCCTTAGTGCCATAACTTGATAAAATATGGGTCTTGAATTTATAATACTTAACATACTGAATGTAACCTTTTCTTACCAAAATTTACATAAAACAGTTTTTTTAATTGTTGTTTCCTTCTTTCTTCTTCTGCTTATGTGACTTGATATTTTTGAAACAAGAAGTTGTGGGAAGAACTTATGATGTGTTTCCTGTAAATGCTGCTCTCTATATATGGCAAGACTAACAGTGAACTATAAATTAATAATTATGCTATTTGGGGAACCATTTCTGTGCACAATTTTCAACAGTACAAATCTTGTCTGTGTTAAATTTGTTAGGTATAACCTCAGAGTTTTACTTTATTCTCTTGTTTATAATTGTTCTATCTCATATCTAATTTATGTGTATGGTTATGGTCTTTATTCATATCAAATTCCACATACTAGATCAAATTGTGCATTAGTTACTATTATCAAACTGAAAGCTAGTATCCCATGTAGTCACCATGTGGCTGTTTTCCAGTCTACAAGAAAATTAGCTGAAGAGACTTCTCATATTTTATAAAGACATATTACTATACAAAACTTAAGGATCTGAAATTAATTGTAATTGTCATTTCCAAATCTGGAGTTAGTACACCCACTATGTTAACATTACTGATGGTTGAAAGTTATGTAGTACACAGGTGGAATGATTTCTAGTGGCATAATATTCATAGCAAGTGTAAAGAAGATTTGTCTTTTTTTTTGAAGTAGGGGCTCCTTGCCAAAGTGTTTCTCACAGCTTGAGCCATATTTACCAGGGGTTAATAGTTAAGGGTTCATAAAACACTTAAGCATATCAAGGCTTCATGCAAAGTCATAACATGGGAAGTTTTGATACTGTAAATTAACCTAAAACAATTGTCCTTTTTCAGTGCCTTTCTTTGTGTTTCCCATTGCACTGAAGTTGTGATTACTTATTCTTTTATTTTATTGTATTGTATCAGTTGCTGATGTTAAGTAGCATGCTTATGGATTATGAACTAGGAGTGAGCGAGAGAGGAAGCACCCATCGACTGTGTTTAAGTCTGTCATGGAATTTGCTTGGAGAGACTGAAGGAACTCATAAAAATACCTGTAAGGGTAGCAAGTCACATTAGAGACTTCCCAAATGTGATTCACACTCAGTACATCTGTAAAGTGGTGCATGTTATCCTATGTATCAGTAGAGGAAATAACTCCAGTGTAAATACATACATTGTTGTGGCTTGTGCAGATGTATCACTGTTGCGCCCATCATATATTTTAGGGGGTGGGTTAAGATCTATGGAGTGTTATGAGAAAGTTTCATATTTCATTTAGAAACAAAATTTTGACTTTTGCAAGGGTCTAAATTTATGTCAGCAGAAAAGTTTATTGGTGAAGCAGACATTTTTTAGTACAGCAGGATATGGTTTATATTCAGGAGACACCTGGTTTGAATCTCAACTGGTAGTATCCATCCTGACTGGGGTTCTTCGTGGTTGTCCTGTTTCCTGTCATTTTCTTTGTCATTTGGAAAGTACTGTATTGATCCTTAAGGAACTTCGTAGCAATCAGATGGTGTCACATGCTGGACACAGTCACGTGTCCATGTGTACCATCAGGTGGGAGGAGGAAACTCATAGTAATATGCCAACTAACTTAAAGCTTTCTTAATTAATATTTAGTATTGCTATTATTGTACACAGAGGGGCATGCGGCAGTGTAGTTGGTTGAGGGGCTATGCTACAAGCCAGAAGGTCGCGGGTTCAAGTCCCGATGAGGTCACGGGATTTTTTTCAATTGACCTATGGCCTTGGGGTTGACTCAGCCTCTAACAGAACTGAGTACCAGGAATTAATTAAATAATTTTCCTGGGGAGTAAAGTGCGGCCGGCACATAAGGCTGACAACCTTACCACCATCTTTGAGCCGATTGTCTAGATAATGTAGGACCCTCAACGTCTCACAACCCTATGGGCCTTCATGGCCTGTTACAGGGATAGCTTTACTTTACTTTTACTTTTTATTATTATACACAGAATTAAATCCATTATTGAAACTGATGAGTAATTACCTTTTTTTCTTTATCTAGAACCCCTTACAAAAATTAACGTATTTAATGTAATGGATGTGACTATAAACTTCTCATTTAGGAATAATCTAAAGAAATAAATTACATGCACTGTGTTCTGTGTTTAGCACCTGATAAGCGCAACACCAGCCTGTTCATTGATACTGGCCAAACACCACCAGCACCTCCTAAACGACTGGTGAAGAAGGTAAATAGATATATTTGTGAACTATCTATTTGCAGTTGCTATGTCATCTTGGTTTTATATGTTTCTGAAGCAGAATCTCCAATTTTATACAGTTTCTTCATAATTTTACAGATGTTTTATGTGTGACAGATCATCACATTTTTCAGAAGAAATAAGAATTGACTGCTTAGATGGTCAACATAGATGTTAAAGCAGTAGACTTATATATAACATTATGACATATCCCAGATATTTTAGGAGTGCAAGATATACAAAAAGCCATAAAATGAATATAATTTTGTAATCCATATGGGTAAACATGTTCTTAATTTTGAATTAAAACTTTCAGTTTTCTTCCAACTCTGACTTATGATAATGGAAAATAATAATTAAGCAGTACTTAAAAAATTCAAAGTAATTGTAGGCCATTGTAAAGAAAACTTACTTGTTATTTGAAGGGATCATCAGGAGTTCTCAACATTGACTCTGTGATTGACATCAGCCTGGAGTCCTCCACATCAGAAGTTCCTGAGTCAAACAGTGATGGTCATGACCTTCGGGATTCAGGCTACTCAGAGTTCTCTCAAACACCAAGCAGCAGTATCAGCAACAATTTCAATAACCTGTCATATGAAGACTTTGATCTCCCCACACATCGGCGGGTGGCAAGTGGAGACCATGCCAACATCATGAACATCTCCCCACCAACCATCTCTCCTCGCACTCAGTCATTCCCAGCCCCTCCTCCAATACCACCCAAAGCTGTATTCAATCCTCCTTCTACATTTCCTTCGGCACTGATGACACCCAATTCCCCTCCAGATTGCAATGTAAAGACTCCAAATGGAACTGTAGAACAGATACAGCATCCTTCATTCATTACTGTGGAGAATAGTTTTGGAGTCTCAGTGCATTGTGGCATTACTGGCAGTGTTGTGGAGAACTATTCAGTTCCAAGACTTCAGGCACAGAATTCAGATACTGGAGACAGTCCTTCGTGAGCACAGGGTTTGAGGATGTGAGCAAGTTTGTGGAGTTCCCCTACCTCTGCTGCTCCAGGCCTCTGTCTGTTGGCTTGAGTCTGCTTCTGCAAGGCAAATAGTATTCATGCATGGTATTTGAATCTTGTGTAATGATAGCAGTCTGATCTGCAGAGCTTGTCATGAAATTAAGACTTCAGTAGTTTAAGTGGCAGATGCAGAAGGAAGGCATGATTAGCGAACGTAAGGTTTATTGGAAGGGCACACATCTTCACAGTGAGCTTAATCAGCAGGAGGTAAATGGTATGCTGAGTTACTTAATTTGGGTATGTTTCTCTACATGGCATCACATAATATGCTTCAGGTCCAAATGATGCTGACAGAGCAACTGAGGTTTCCTACTCTCAAAAGTAGCCGGTTTTGTCATTGTGATATTTCATTCATGTAAAATGACCACGTTATGAGCTCTTACACTATGAAAGAAAGTTAATTCCTTTTTTCTCCTTCAGAAATAAAGTAAATGTGCTCAAGATGTAGGATGTATTTCAAAGTTATGAGCTATTTTTTGGTTACAGCCAGAAAAGAAAGCTCTTTACTTCAGAATGATATGTGTAACTTAATGAGACGTGATGGACAGATTTGTTCATAAACCAAATATAAACCCTGCTTTGACATGTAAAATGACATGGTAATTACAAACTACATATCCTGTTTAGAACAGTTTACATACACTGATCTGTCTAAAGTAAATTCATATTTTATGTTACAGTACTAACATTTATCTAGATTAAAAAGGTTTAAGATTTTAACCATTGCTCTGGTTCAGAAATAGCTTGAATGTCTGTAGGATGAAGATATTGGTAGAATTATCTTCATGTTTCCTTTTGATGGTAAGCAACAAGCTTAGGCTGGTTTTGTTGGGCAGAGGACTCATCAGACATGGTGTTCTGTGGACATGGGGACTAGAAATGTTTTGGTTTTGGAGAGACTGTGTTGGATTCCACTCTATAAACTGGCCACAACATGAAGCTGACAGCTGACCTCCATGTATTGCTGAGGTTAAAACAGTGTGGAGCTTTCTTTCCTTTTCTCATGCAACTTCATGACATGGTGCTCAGTTAAGCTCAGTGACAACTTTACGTATTTATAAGCGTGTACATGTCATGAATTTTTTAGACTGATTCATCAAGGAAAATATTTCTTGAACTTGGATTGAATGTTAATTTTTAATTGTTGAACATCGATGATTTTCTGATAACTACTTTTGCTTTGCACACTGGTGCAAGTCAGAGGGGACTAATATTGTATTTGCCCGAATGGAGGATGAATTTCCCCCTTAAGGATTACAAAACTACAGGTATTCATCAGTTTGAATGCTACACATATTTTAGATAATTTTAATCCATATTAATTTTTTTAGCATTTTCATGGCGCAGTTCACAGTATCGTGCCATGAGATGAGCAAGGAATAAAGAGACAAATTTCAGAGACAGAAGCTGCTACAGGGTTGCCCAAATTACCACCAGTGTTATGATACAAAAATGCAAATTCACTGGTTTATGATATTTGAAGATTCTGTTCTGATGTGACTGTCCCTCGATGTAAAATTGGCAGCTCATGTGAAGAGAAGACATGCTAGTGTGGAAGGGAAGAATGAATCATATATCAGGCATTTCAGTTATGGTTTACACTTTAAGACTGTGGTGATTAAATATGCAGTGTCTCATGACACAAACATCCAACGGTGGAAAGAACAAAAACCAGAAGTTATGCCAGTTCTGTGCAAAAATTGTCATTTATATGGAGACAGAGACATAACAGAATGTCAGTGTCATCCAGCATCATTACTCAGTGAGAGGCACACCTACCTATGGGGCTATTAACCTGTGTCAAACTAAGGGATGGATGACTGAATGTTCCCTGGTATGAGGTTGACATACTTTCAGAATCATCATCCATTCAGGTAAATTTGATAATGCATGCACTATGCAAAGTCAATTGTGTTTTAAATTATTTCACCGAAAATGCCCTACAAGCGTTACATAGTGTATTGCTGTGTAGCAATGATCTTTGTATGAGAAATATCAAAATGATATATATGGCTCATTAAAGAACACTTAAAGCAATTAACAGGGGAAAACTTTGAAAACAACAAATAAATTAGAGAAATTCACATTGCAATCTTCTGGGTTATGACATTTGTTGTAGTGAGGAAGATGGGTGCCAACATTTAAATCTTCACTCCTGTGAAAATCTGAGTGTCTTCTATAAAGAATAATGCATTCCATGCCCATTTCAAATTGTTAGAAATGAAAAGTTTTCAGTAGTTAGATATTAAATTATGATGACTGTTATCCAAAATGCAGCCATATTATCAGAAAATATGGAAATGAAATATTTATTTTAATGACCAATCAAAAGTAATGTGAAGGATTCCTTGATATAACTCTGTTTACATCATTTAGACTACTATGATTAGCAGGTAATGCAAACTAAACTTACTTTCTAGACTCAGATCTTCAATACAAAGTTTTTTCTAAGTCTGTTCACAAGCAGCATGACGTTTCTCTTCAGTATGAAATGTGACAGCAAAGTTGGGGGGTTTGACTTTGTCTTATTCTGTCCTGTTTCTTGACCACATGTTGATGAAAGCTTTATGAGTATGCTCCACACACATACACAATGGCATAAATGTTTCATGGACACTAAAGCTGTCAGTTGTTGTGTCTCTTGGTTGAATATCTCCTGCCTTTAGAACAGCATATGTCTATCATCTTAATGCTTACAAAATGACTGGCAATTTGCAGTAAGAAATGCGGTTCCAGAGTCCATAACATGGAGTAATTATAATCATAGAAGCCCAGAATCCCGATTCATTCATGGGACCCCTTAAGTTCTAGCAGATGGCTTCTACAGAAACATACACAGTGAAATTTGATGTTGACAGCACTAGTTGAATTGACCTAAATATCTTGTGCTGTCTTATAAATTCTTAAAAATAGTAACATAAATTGAGAGGTGGCCACTTCCAGATGTCTTGGTAACCTCTAGAGAAAGTAAAGCATATTGCCAAGATGTAATTCACTGATCAGAAAGTGCATGTAAGTTGTGTAGCTGTGGGTAAGTTGGTATCATGTGCTAATGAAAGTGCAGGACAAAAATATAGAGTATAGATGCAGATGAAGTGAAAGCATTTCAAGTTAGTTCCAGAAGTCTGTGTGTGTGTGTTCATGTTAGATTGGTACATGGGAAGAACTGCCAGTACAGCACTCATGCTGATATTGTTACAGTGCCTTGTTTTGGAATTTACTGTGTAATTTATTGTAGCCTGCTCTCCATAATTATTATGCTTATGTGGCATGACGTTGACTAAAGCAGATCACTAGGGTTCAAACCCCAGTACCACCCTATACGGAATGCCTTTGAGATCCACCCAGTCTCTCTTTCAGTTGGTGCCACAGGCATAAAAGTACAAGGCAAGTTACACGTTTTATATATTGGAGTGTTTACTGTAACCAGGTTCAAAAATGGTGATGCTAGTGCCTGATTTGGACCAAAATTATAATTCTTAGTAACATGAGACACCATCCATCCACTTAAAGAGGAAAAGTGGAGTCGTTGAGTATAACTGTTAATTTGTAATACTCAACAACTCCACTTCTCCACTTTAAGTGGATGGATGGTGTCTCGTGTTACTAAGAATTATTTTGTAATTTGTAATATTTTGTAATATATTAAATTTATGCTTTATATATGGGACATGTAGTAGCATGGTTGAGGCACTATGCTACAAGCAGGAAGGTCACCAGTTCAGTTCCTGATGAGGCCATTGAATTTTGAATTGACCTAATCCTTCCAGTCAGCTCAGGCTCTAACTGAAATGAGTGCCAGGAATCTTCCTCGGGGGTAAAGGGTGGCTGGCGCGCAAGACTGACAACCTTTCTGCCATCTGTGAGCCATTTGTCTAGAAAATGTGGTAGCCTTGACATCTCACAGCCCTATGGGCCTTCACAGCCTGTTATAGGGATAGCTTTAACATTTTATATGTAGAAAGACTTTGTCCACCTCAGCAAGGAAGTATTCAGTAACTTACTGACACAAAAATCTCCTCATTATGTACTGTGAACTGTAAATTACCATTATTTTGGTGATTATTTCTAAAGCAGAAAATTTTAAGTAAAAGAATTTTAATTGCAAAATAGTAGTGTAATTATTACTGAAACAAAATTTCTGCAACAATATTATGCATAATTTCTGTGCTTGGTAACTAGATGGATGTGACATAGAGGAATGTATTATTTTGACAGGTTTGCTGACAGGAGTGTTAGTTGTGATGATCTGTAATTGTGCCCTGAGAGGTTTAGACATGGAACATGACTAAGTCTCTTGCAGGAATTGATTAAGTGCTATTACATGAAGCAAAACTTTGCCTTATGTATCATAGAGCTTAAAGATGCAAGTTCAAGTCCCTCTGTGTATGTTTATATAGTTTTTTGTCTTCAAGAGGCCTAAGTGAGTCCTTTATCCTCATCCTCACAGCAGAAGCATATTATGTCATGTGACTTAGTCTTCATTTCTGATTCTCATTCTCGTCAAGTGTACATGATTACAAATGAAGTATAAACGTATAAAATTTTGTTCATAACAAACTAATTATTTTTTATTTGTTTCATTCTGGTTCGTCACACTAATAATATTATGAAAAAGTTAATTAGTTCCATCCAGTATGACTGGTAAGATTTTCTTTTCTTATTTCAGTTATTCATGCCATTACATGTTTCGGTCTTCAGAGGGACATCTTTACATCAATACTATTAGAAGCCACCATTACAGCACATGATCTAAAAGTTAAAATATATACATACAATATAAATAATATACAGTTGGGTGTAAAATCTATAGTCTTTGCAACTACAGTGGCTGTTCCAATACATTAAAATGTTTATAGTTATGTAAGATTTGAGGCTTTCACGGCGGTGACTATGAAGAAAGCAGTCTTCTGGGATTTGGCGCCGTGTATATGTGGTGTTAACCGACGTTTCGGAGGATCGTATCGCCTCCATCTTCAGGGTAGAAGAAAAAGTGTAAGAATTCTGCAAGCGACAAGACCGTGAGAACGGTAGTAGCAGTCTGCTACTACCGTTCTCACGGTCTTGTCGCTTGCAGAATTCTTACACTTTTTCTTCTACCCTGAAGATGGAGGCGATACGATCCTCCGAAACGTCGGTTAACACCACATATACACGGCGCCAAATCCCAGAAGACTGCTTTCTTCTGTTTATAGTTAGTTTGATAAGATTCTATTGGAATTTGTAAACCAAGCGGGTTCGTGACGTCCCTCTTATTATTTCTTTTTGACGGGGACCGAATGTGTACGACCTTGTCGTTCTTGAGAAGAGGGCTCTTTAATGTTGTCCTGTATGTGTTTGTGGCCCGCTGTGTTGTTTTTACTATATTGATGTAAAGGTGTTCCCCTGAAGATGGTATCTGAAGACCAAAACATGTAAGGGCATGAATAATTATAATTGAAATAAGAAGAAAAAATAATCTTAACCAGTCACAGTGGACAGAACTAATTAACTTTTTCATAAAACTAATTATGATATAAAATTAATATTACTGTCAGTTTAAACAGGTACTCAGAAAAATTTATCTTTGTTGGCAAATGATTTAGTAACAAGACACTGTATGAGGTGCTTCTATTAATAATGATACAAACAGTTTCTGGAAGATAGTTGAGTCATGGGACTCCTAAACATTGTCACCTTGTATCACAAGATCTAAATGCAATGGACATTATTTTATGTATTATATTTTAGCATCCCATTCCATTGAGGCATCATCCTCATTATCAAAGTGTCCGTCAATAATGCAACAATTTAAAAGACATTAGGAATACGTTTCACACTAAAAATATATTTCAGTACTTTTTGATGTTGTTAAATTCATTACATGTCAATAGGACATTAAAAGCATATTCTATACATTGAAAGTGATTATCCAATTTTCTAAAATGTCTTTAGTCATATATTTCTTCTAGTTTACGACATGTTTCGGCCATATGGGCCATCATCAGGTAATTTTTTTTCTTTTGGGGAGATCACTGCATTGTATACTTGTTCACTGTGCTTCCATCCACATCAATATTTTGTTTTGTCTCATGATTGGAGTGCCGTCATTGCACTCTATTGCTGCTGTCGTAGTTTTTGTGTGTCCTATGTATCACTAGTGCGGTCTACCTGTGTACTCACAGTACTCCCAGAGTACACAGGTAGACTGCACTAATGATACATATGAGAGTACACAGGTAGACCACGCTAGTGATACATAGGACACACAAAAACTACGACAGCCGCGATAGAGTGCAATGACAGCACTCCAATCATGAGACAAAACAAAATATTGATGTGGATGGAAGCACAGTGAACAAGTATACAATGCAGTGATCTCCCCAAAAGAAAAAAAATTACCTGATGATGGCCCATATGGCCGAAACATGTCGTAAACTAGAAGAAATATATGACTAAAGACATTTTAGAAAATTGGATAATCACTTTCAATGTATAGAATATGCTTTTAATGTCCTATTGACATGTAATGAATTTAACAACATCAAAAAGTACTGAAATACATTTTTAGTGTGAAACGTATTCCTAATGTTTTATAAACTGTTGCCTTATTGACCAATACTTTGATAGTAAGGATTATTTTATGTAGCTATGTTAAATATGATGCCTGTGTCACACCCTTATCAGGTGAGCTGATGGCTTGAAATGCTAATTATGTGAAGTGATTGCATCAACTGGATGCAAAGTATTAAATGCATTTTGGCACATATTTCAGTATAACTTTCGAAATATTTATTAGAGTGAAAAGTGTCTTGAATGAAAGTTCTAGAGAGAAAGGAAACGGGTTTTATATTCAGTACACTTTTTCTGTAAATCTTACTCTTTTTGAGATAATTGAAAAAAGAATCATTACATTATGCTTACACTTCTTAAGTCGTATACTCAGCATTCAATGGTGCTTGTCCAAAGACATGCAAAGATTACTGAATAATGTAAACTAGTTTTCTGAATGCAGTTAAAGGTGCCTGAAGTCTCTTATTCTTTATAGCAATTAAACAAAGCTTCCCCCAACCTGAATTTTTGATCTACATATTGTCACGTTAATGTGTGACTATAGAGAGCCGGGATAGCACAATCGGTATAGCGACTGGCTACGGGCTGGACAACCAAGGGGTCAGAGTATGAGTCCCAGTAGGGTCAAGAATTTTCTCTTCTCCATGTTGTCCAGACCTGCTCTGGGGCCCGCCCAGCCTCCTATACTAGATACAATGGGTACCAGAGGATCTTTCTCCGGGGGTAAAGCGGGCAGGGCATGAAGTTGACCACTCACCTCCAACTAGTGCTGAGGTCAAGAAAATGTGAGTATAGAAATCCACTCCCCCATATGCCTTCGTGGTGTAGTGTTTAATTAGTTAAGCACAGGGACAACTCTACATTTATGTGTGACTATAGATGGGGTTTTGAGTTGGAGATTGGATTTATTGACAACTTACAGGTCATAATTGCAAATAACTGTAAGTCTTACTGGTTTACATACACTAAAGATAACTGCAACTACAGAACACATGAAGTCTTCTCTCTCTTCACTACTTGTTTTCTTGTAACGGATTTTAACTCTGTCGTCTTATGTCCTTACTGCCTGGCGCGTATCCCACAACTGAACTAAGCTTTAAACTTGTCTCATTGATAACCCCTTGGCATAGATCATGTAGAAAACACCGTTTCCAACAGTTCCTCTATTGCTGAGTGTTGATTCATTGTTGCATAAATGTGTTTAGCATGCTGTTGCATAACAACAGTTGCGCCATGGACAACAGAAAACACTACTTCCAACAGTTCCTCTGTTGTCTACTGATTTGTTGCCATGGGGACCTGTTTGTTTGCAATCGCTGCCAAGTAATGGGTCTATGCGCTACAATATATGTAAATATTATGGCATATAGACCCATTGCTGGGCAGAAGCCTTGAAAAAGGCAACCAGTACAGCCATTGCTATGCAGTAGGTGGATAAACAAACTCCAATTTCTAAGCACCTATCGGTAGATGTGTTCCTATGCAAATGGTATCCAGTCTATGACAATAATAGAAAGAATGTTGGAGGCTGTGTTTTCTGTTCGGTCCACCCTGATATTATATAACGAGGACACCAGCCGAGCTGCAGTCAGTTGTCAGAAGGTCAGTTGAGTGAAGTGATGTGAAGTAGGTGGCTGGTGAGTGAGAGAGTTCCATTGTCAGTTGTCAGCTGAAAGTCAACCTGTGAAGAGAAGACTAGGGGGTTGATGTACAATGGCTGCCAGCCTGGGACCCAGTTACTTGAGTTGTCAGTTGACAAGAGTTCAGCACGGGTGGCTGTAACAAGAGGACCTGAGTGCAGGGCAGTGAAGAATCTCCCTCAGTTGAAGTCATTGCCAGGAAATGGCTAGTGGAGATTGTAGTAGACTGAGGACCCTAATCTGTGCCTGTCAGTGATCTGTAAATTGTAATTCTGCATGGTGTATACAAGTGGTCAAAAAATCCAATTCACCAAAACAAACCCTGTCTATAGTCACACCCCTAAATCATGACAGTATATTTTTAATTGATTACAGTTTATTCCCACTGCGACATTTACTTCTTTGGGTTGTGCTTTTTCTCATAGATCAAAGTGCAATAATCGATCAGTTGAAATTTATATTTCATATGTCTTCTATAGATAAATAAAAAATTCAACAATTTTAGCAGCTTTACATAATTTCTGGAGGGAAAATCAGGCAGTCTGTTGATCAGAACTTACAAAGTAGTGGGTTAAAATGTCACCAAAAGATTTTAGAAAATATAATTGTACATTTAA